AAAGACAACTTGCCAGGGGCTTCATTTGCAGCGCTGAAATGTCAAGGGCTAAATTTGGCACTGTTACTTTATGATCTCCTTCTATTGCACAGATTTAACTATCTTTAAATGAAAAGCAGTTTTGCTTGTAGTTGGTGAACTCATCTCTTCTTTGGCAAGGTGCGTTTTACATTGTAAAGACATTGCCGGGTTACATACACTTCAGAATGTCACTGTGGAGAGAGTTACAAAATGTCCTTCAAGGTTTCCACTCTCTTCACCTGTTTTCTTCTTTCACAGTAGAGACACGTCAAAGATGAAAGACATTGTTGACCCCGACTCATACGCTTAAATAGTTGTTGCTCCCCCCTCCCCGCCCCCCCCAGGAAATATTGTTTTCACTCATTTTATTTTTAATTAGAGACTGATTGTGTGTATTTGTCTCATGCTTTTCCCTAATGATATTAAAGTTAATACTTAACCACATCATATCTGTGACATTGCTATTTCTGCTTATCACTTCAAAGAATGCTAATTAAATTAGTGTGTTTATTTACAAGCAAATAGAGGTCTTTTCTCAGGAGATTAGCCTTATGATGATAGATTTAAAGATTAGATTTGGTATATCTGAGGGTTTATTGAGTAAGACAAAACCACAAGTATCTTAAAATTCAACATTTCATTGCACAAGTATTTTTATATCCATTCCTGTTTATAAATTTTTACAGGGAGTTGGGATAAAGGGAGTAAGACTCCTTTGAAGTGCCTAAAATTCCATCTTCTATCTATAAAAAAGAATGTGTAACTCCCCAACAACAGGTGTAAGGGAGGGTAAGGGAAGTTGTGAGAAACAGAACACTCAGAACTGCCAAGGTCAAAGTCTTGCAGAACTCACTCTGCAGTGGGCCTCTCACTCCCTCTCCTGGCCGCAGAGGACGGTGCAGTGTAATACAAAAGACAGCTCTAGGTAGGACCTTCGCCTTTTGTGTTCTAACCAAAAAGACAGCAGCTTAATTTTCAGAAACCAGAGGTAGCTGAATGTTTAACACAGTTGACTATGGATTTCATCAGCTGGTTAAATCTTACCATCACCCCTTAACTAGTTATTTGATGATGGGCCTCATGTGAATTCAGTTTCCTCCTTGGGAAAAAGAGGATAAAAACAGCAGTGGTGCACACCTTTAATTCCAGCATGCAGGAGGCAGAGACAGGAGGATCTCTGTGAGTTCGAGGCTAGCCTGGTCTACAGAGGAAGATCCAGGGCAGGCACCAAAATTACACAGAGAAACCCTGTCTCGAAAACAAAATAAAACAAACAAACAAACAAATAAAAAACAGAAACAAAAACAATCTCTGTAATGTTGAAAAGGCTAAATGTGAAAACAATCCAGGATAAATTCACAGTGGATGTTGGATGCTATCATTACAGTGAGGTTTATAATTTTCAGTCTTTTTATGGAGCCTGGCTTCAAACATTCCCAGAAATTCTTTTAATGGGGTTGGGTTTATTTTAGCCTTGTTTCAATTGAGATGCTCACAAATATAGGTGATCCCAAACAAGTTCTCATGTCTGAGCCAAAATAAATCTACACCTTGGACCCTCGTACATAATATACAATGTTCCTTCACCAAACATTCAGATATATATATATGAATGGTAGACAAGTTACTCGCTACATTGAACATTTAAGTCTTTCAAAGTCTGTGCTTAGTTATTGTTTGGAGATGTGTTATTTGGTAGAGTTTCTGTCAATGCATTCTTTACAACTACTCATTTTGTAATTTTTGCCTGCAATATCCAGTCAGGAGTGACCAGAGTGTGGCATGAATACAATGCAAATTAAAATTTAAGCAACACATTATAAGATACGATGAAGGTCTCCACTCACAGCAAACCCGGCTTATCAGCCAACACATGCACCATGCAAAAAAAAAAATCACTTTCATATTAAAGATATCTTAAAATACAGGCACGTGGTCATCTCATTACTCATTTACTTTCACCATTTCGCTTGGTTGCAACTAATATTCACTCCTTTATGTGCGCTCACAATCATAAGGGTAGGCTTTAATTCCCATCAATGTGATCCTGGGAGGCAGTATTACTCTAGACCTGGGATTTGTCGCTGGAAATATCAGCTCTCTGAAGGCAAAGAGAGCTGAGAACTACCAAGAACAGTAATATTAGTGTTATACTAATGCTAGTGGAACTTTGTGAAAATGCCACTCACAAAAATGTTTATGGACATAGGATATTGGGTAGGCATTTGCTCAGAGACTCTCAAAGATTTGTATCAGGACAACTGAAGAAGCATTCTAAATAAATAACTAGCCAACCAGGAAATCAAATTGGAAAAGCACATTTAAGCAAACTAATCAAAAATATCCAAGATTGTTCAGAGTTTATGGTGAGTCGAGTATGTAGCTATTAAATGTGGTATATTTTACAACAGACCATGGTCTTAGTTGGGAAAAGTATTGAGGAACGAATTTAATTATTGTTTCCTATATATAATTAAACTTTAGCATTACCCACAGTTTAAAGGATAGTTAGCTTTCTAATCTTACAGGATTTATGAAATAAGCCTTACAATCCAATTAAGTTTTGTTCTTTATAGAGTTTTCATAAAGTTAATGAATATGTATAGAGATATGTTCCTTTTCTCTGCTTGAAAAAAGGTTATAACTTATATGAGAAAATATATCTAGAAACATCAAGTAATTAAAAGCATCGCAATAGGAAATGCTATAATATATTTTCTAATTAGCCCTGTTACCTACTGGGATGAAATTAAATTTTGTAAAGCTCCCAAGTTGCATCATAGTCTCTGGCTTTGCTAAAACACTCTCAAATTTGTACTGATTTCATATTGATGAGGGAAAAAAATCACTGAAGGAATTTACATTCCTTTGCAGAAATGAGACAGCTTCATTTTCTTCCTTACTGCCCGCTTCCATTGGGAATGGTCCTTCTGAAGAAAACAAAAGGTTAATTTCCTTCCATTTCTTCAGATTCATTTGGCTTCTGTTTTTTTGATGTGTTCCTTCTCAAAGTCTATTTTGTTTCTCGTTCCACAATGAAAAGCTGATAATGGGGTGTATTGCATCCCTACCACTCAGGACTTCCTTACTTTTTCTTGCTCACACCAGTATTAATTTAATACAAGGATGGAAGGCTAGAGCAGAGAAGTGCCACTTCTCTACTGGCTGGAACAAGTGATTGGCTTGATTTCTGGATTAAAAAAAAAACTGATGTTAACAGAAGTTTATTCATTTACTTTTTGATACGTGATTTCTCTGGATAGAAAATTAAAGCCTGTTTTCATTAGTGGGACACTTCTGTTTTTTTTGTAAGAAGACACATTTTCTTTCCTTCCGGAAGCTTATCTGAGGAACAGGGATGATACTGTCTCATAAATCACAATAAATATAAAAAAGAGTGGCCTGTTTTATAATTCTACAGCCACTGAAGAGAATCAGGAAGTACTGTGTGGTTGTAATCACATTTGCATGCTGCAGTCAGCATGCATCTATAAAGACATGGACTGTGATGGCTGGAGATGAAAGATTTGGTTTCTTTTTAATGGACTAACTATATGCATCTTGTCCTCAAAATAAAAGAAAAACCATTTTTGGAAGATCCAACATGCATTTTTCCTAAATGGATATTCATTAATAATGTTACATCCTATGACCAAGTCTTTTCAAATCTAACTTCAGGTACAGATAAAGATTAAATATTTGTGATAACATGCTTTCCCCCTTCGGAACGTGTCTCATTTCGTGGGAATGTTACAAAAATTATGACTATATTTGATTTCATCACATAAACCCATGTGAGTTCTGATTCAATATTATTTTAGGTTTTTTTTTTTTTTTAAGCTCCATGATTGTATTAAGGGAGTCAGTTGAATGCTTGTGTGTGGAATGCATTGTAACTTTCTTCTACAGTGTTAAGCTTGAAATGTCAGATGTACTACACACAGAATCCTTGGCTTGGATGGAAGGATCACCTCATAAGCACTTTGACTCTGTACTTTTCCATATAAGGCTGGGTTCCTTAGAAGAAGGTTTTCAACCTGCCTCAAGGACCCAGTCTGAGCCCAGTTAATGAGGAGAAGGTACATATCTGATGTGTTGCTCGGAGATAACAGGGACACACTCATTCGTCATTTTCCAAAAACGGATCATCTCTTCTGAAGCTGAAAACTTGGTTCACAGAAAAGCGTTCACACAAAAATCAAGCCCATTCTCCTTAGATCAAGATCAGTATGTAAGAGGCTCAGCACACACTCACAGTTATAGAAATGATCGGAGATATAAATATATATTATATAGGTATACAATACCCACCTGTTAGTTTTGTTTAGAAGGAACTCACACATTCTGAATTAAATGCAGTGCATAAATAAACATGATGACAGTTATAACCACTGAAGCATCTGAGTGCCTGATTTTCTGCTCTGAGATCTCACCGAGTGTTATATGAAATTTTATTAAGCAAAGTTGAAGAGGGAATTAACTTGAAATGAAAAAAAATTCTCTGGTGAAATGAAGCAGCTGTGAAATAGATGTGTCCAAGACAACTGGTTCATCAGCTGTCTTCAATTTTTTTTATGATGTCTTTTAGAGTTAGGGATCCAATTTCCACGGAGATTTTAATTTTAAAAGTGCACTCTTTAAGTATCTGTAAATGCAAAAACCTATAGATGAGCATATTTCCCCCTAAACTGCACTTTTGGCAAACTAGGGGGAAATGGAAAACAGAATCAGCAAAGACTGAACCACGAGAAAAGAGAGAGAGCACAAACCCCCCTTGTAGTACCCAGTCTTAGTAATGTCACTGGAATTGTGTGCCGCAGCCCACGTTATTAAGCAGGATCCCTGGCTCCTAAAACATACCAGTTCACTGAGTAATGCCGTTCCTTTTCAGTGAAAATTTACCTCTTTGCTCAAATTCCTTCAGTTCCTTAGTGTTGAAAGATGTTTCAGTGACCAAAACGATTCACCTGTTTAGTTACCTTAATAGCAGACAGGTCGATTTTTTCTTCTTTAGGTTTGGCTGGGGCGGGGGCCGGGGCCGGGGCTGGGGCAGGGGCAGCAGCAGGCTTCTTCACGTCTTTCTTTGGTGCCATTTGGATGAAAAGGATGGGTTAACAAAAGAAAGATCTCCTCCGGAAGAACCTGTCAGAGTGACACTTGGAAGAGCAGAGGTGGCTCGCTTGACCCACAGCCCAGCGTCTGGAGGTTGGACCCAGAGTGTTGAATGGTATAAGGGCATGCATATATATTTCACTTAGTGCCTAACAGAACCTTGACACACGCTGCTGGATTGGACGATTCACTTGTCCAGGGGGGTGGCATTCCGGCTCAGACTATAAATGGAATCTAAAGGGTCAGGGCTTCCTCAAGTTTTTTGAACGCCTCTTGCTTTTTTTTTTTTCTTTCTTCTTTCTCCACCTCCACATATTAAGGAGAAAGAAGCATGACAGAGCCAGTCATAGTTGATTTGGTGACAGCAGATGGACATACCTTTTTCTTGGTAGAATTACAGTTCTGTTGAAGCTGTAAATCTTTTTTTTTTTTTTTTCCGTCCGAAGAAACTTTACCGGATTCAGTTTCAACTTGGAATTTTGGCACGGACCATCACCAACTTTCACCCAGCTCCTTCCCTCCTGCCCCTCCCTCCTTGGCCATGATGTGCAAGAAAATGTTGGTCAGCAAAGAGGTCACTGGTAGTGTTTAAAAATAAAAAGCAGACGTATAAGGAAAGTCTATCAAGTCTTAAAGTGGTTTCCTTTCTAAGGAGTACAGTCTCTGTCTCCGTCTGTGTGTCTGTGTCTCTGACCCAAAGAAAAATAATTTTAAAATTATCCCTATAGCTTCATTTTTTTCTGTATAATTTAATGAAAGAATGTTAGTAAAATTGTTTTCAGCCAAAGTATGCATTTAGCCACTTTGCTTTCTAAGTGACTTAAAATGGAATTATTTGTTACCTGATAATCTTACTTTCATGTCAGAGGGACAAATAGATTTTTAGGCAAGTAAATAAAGAAAAGGTCTTTAATTATCAATACTGTGCATGTTTTGCTGGCAACTTGATATTTGCTATTCCTTATTTTTGTTCTTGGCTTCCAGTGTGCAAGGCTAGACTCATATTGAGTAATATATGAAAACCAAAACCGGGTGTATTGGTATATATCGGTAATCCCAGTACCCCGGGGAGGCAGAGGCAGGCAGATCTCTGTAAACTCAAGGCTCGTCTGATTTAAAATTCAAGGCTAGTCTGGTTTACATAGTGAGTTCTATGACTGCCTGAGCTACATAGTGAGATCCAATCTCAAAAACAAACAAACAAACAGAAATGTATGAAAAGCAATGGATATAACTCTCTAAGTGACAAATTCTACCAGAGAGGACGTCACAATTATATTATTGCTCAGTGTTATCCTCACTTTTGTTGTTTAACTTGTCTGACATTTAATTAATGAGTACATAAAATTTTGTTATTATTGGTGGTGGTGGTGTGTGCATGTGTGCGTCGGTATATGGGTGTGCATGTGCCCGCGTGTGTACAATGCACATTTGTGGACATAACTTGCATGTGGATTGTCAGAGGATGACTCTGTGGAGTTGGTTATCTTCTTCCACATTAACATGGATTCTGGGAGTGGACCTCAGTTCATCAGGCTTGTGCAATAAACACTAATCACCGAACAATCTCACTGGCCCTGCAAATAGTTATCAGGAAAACAAAATAGTAGAAAGTTGGGATTTTTAGGTGAACTTGGTCATATTCCACATAAGAATCCATTGTGTATACGTACATATATGTGTATGTATATAGGTGTATATATATTATATAGTTGGGGTTAAAGACAGCAATTTGTTTTGGTCTAATAAAAGTCTTCCTTATACATTGTAACAACAGAGATTGAGACTCTCAAAATATCAACAATTCACCTGTTTACAACTGATCTGCCACCAGTTGGTCTCCTCAGCTCATGTATTGGCTTGATTTACCAAATCCGTCTTGCTTAGGAAAGGCTTTAATTAATTAATTAATTTTTATTTTTCAGTGCTAGAAATGCTTGTGTACGCTAGGCAAGCCTTCTACCACTGAACTACTCTGTTAGCTCAGGATGAACACTTTCTAAATCATGCTAAATTAAATGATTTTTAAACTAACAAACAAAAACCGTGTTCATGAATGAGGTACCAGGTATAGTTTCCATATATAGCTACACTGTGCAAATGGGTTAAACAGATTTATTGTTTAAACTTTCATCACTTCTTTATGGTGAAAATATTCTTCCTTTTAGTTCAAAGAGTTCTGAACACACGTAACTATCTGTGGTTGTCATACTATGTACCCCCACACTAGGGCTTCCGATACTCCGTAACGCCAATATAGTCCATTGCTCCACCTTCATCTATCCCCACCTCCCTGCTACCCTCCCCAGGCACTGGTAACCTTCGACACTCAACTTTAATCACATCCTCTCTCTGTGTCTGCCTCTGTCTGTCTGTCTGTCTGTCTGTCTCTCTTTGTGTGTGTCAGGTTGGCTTTGCAATGGCAGTGATCCACTTGCTCAGATTCCCAAGTATTGGGATGATAACCATGTATAACCACATCTAGCTCAGATCAATGTATTTTGTATTCATATGTAAGGTTACTCAGTGCTAGTCTTTCTGGCTTCAGGAGATTTTTTTTTCAAGCCTGACCTCAATTGTATTTTTGAGTACAAATTTTATCGTCAAATAATGTTTAACATTTCTTCAAATTTTCATTTTTTGCTAACATTGTTGTTACCTTATGCCTACCTTTAAAAAATTTCTTTTCTTTTTGGTGATGCAAGTTTAAAGTAATAATTATTCAGACATGATTTGTTGCAAAATTTTTGTTTTAGGCTTTATTTGATGTGTGATTTAAGAGATATTAGCTATACCTTGTTTTTGTTGTTATTGTTGTTATTTCTGTTTTTTCAAGACAGGGTTTCTCTGTGTAGCCCTGGCTGTCCTGGAACTCTCTTTGTAGACCAGGCTGAACTCACAGATATCTGCCTGGCCCTGCTTCCCGAGTGCCATTACCACCTGACCTAGTCATACAATTTTATTTGTATGTGTGAGTGTGTCTGGATTGTGTGTAAAGGCACTATGTGCATACACTGACATGCAATTTTAAACCTAGAATATGCGTAGTCATTGTGAGATTTACTTCTCTACTCATTGGTTATTAGGAGATGGACCTTATACCCAAAACACACCTACCCCCTAGATAGACTCTGACAACAGTTCCCTAACACAGGCACTGTATTTTCTAACAGTTCTCTCCCAGATGTGTGCTTCCTACCATAGACTCTGCATCACCTAAATTAAGACTTTGATACTCTTTTCTTACATACAAGTCAGTCATAAGAATCTAAATACTTTTTAATCTAAGCATTGGCTTATAAATAAGATATAATTAAAATAGTGCTGTTTATATTAGAATAACCATTTTTATAGATAAAATAGCACTGTCCACTGGTTAGTTTTTCTTGGGATTTTCTTCAATGAATATGCTCTTTGAATTATGCTATTAATTCAAAGGCCTACCTTAACACTTTGCTTTGCATGCAGAAAGCCTTTACAATCTTGAAAGGGATGAAGGGCAAGGGAGTTTTACCTTTTCCAAGGGAAAAAAATTGTTTTTTTTAATATTTAGATGAAAAACACAAACAACAAATATATGTAATCTTGATGTTCTGTTAACTCACCCAAATTGTTTGACATTAGTAATGGCAACAAATAGTGACAATTTCTGCACTAAAGTCTCGAATACTCTAAATTGGAAATAGGGAGACCATATTTTCATATTAAGGGAATGTCTTGTGATGCTAGATACCCAAGTCCCTTTATTTTATCTCATAGATTTGTGGATTCATAGAGAATAATGTGCTGGTGTGAGTTTTTCTTCTTGAAATCCCAGATAATGAGTGACTTTTATGAAGTGAAAGGTATCTGACACCCTCTCTTCACTACTTATACTAGGCTTGACCATATAGCTGAGTTATTACTTGAGGACCCCAAGCCCATAACCCAGTTTAATTCAGAGGAAAATATGAATCAGACTGAAATTTAGGGGTAGTCTACAAATAGTTGATAAGAACACCTATAAATTTTCAATGTTACCAAATGTAGGGAAAGGCTGAGAAACTGTCAGCTAGAGAGACATAATAAAATGGAATAAAGTCATCTGATCTTACTTAGGGTTCAGGGATAAAGGAGACATTAGTTAAAAAACGACGTACCAATATTGTCTTGTTGATAGTAACACATGTAATTCATGTGTTCTGCTGATAACTATTTACAGGACCCATGGGATTGTTCACTGGATAGTATTTGCTGTGCAAGCCTGATGACCTGTATCCCATCCCCAGAATCTGAGTTAAGAAAGAAGAGAACAAACCCCACATAGCTGTCCTCTGACATCTGCATACAAACTGTGCCCACAAATGTGCATTGTACACTATTGATGTTGTTTTTGCTCTTTTGGGGGGCCCACCACCCTGCTCCCAAATAAATTGTGCACAGAGGCTTATTCTTAATTATAAATGCCTGGCCTTAGCTTGGCTTGTTTCTTGCCAGCTTTTCTTAACTTAAATTAGTCCATCTACCTTTTGCCTTTGGGCTTTTACCTTTCTCTGTTTTTGTATACCTTTAGTTATTTCTTATTCCGTGTCTGGTTATGTAGCTGGGTGGTTGGCATCCTCCTCTCCTTGTTCTTCTGTTCTTTCTTTCTTCTTCTCCAGATTTCTCCTTCTATTTCTTCTCCTTGCCTGCCAGCCCCACCTATCCTTTCTCCTGCCTCGCCATTGGCCATGCAGTTCTTTATTAGGCCATCAGGTATTTTAGACAAACACAGTAACACAGCTTTACAGAGTTAAACAAATGCAACACAAACAAAAGTAACAAACCTTAAAATAATATTCCCCAAAAGTACACAAACACACAGAGAATAATACATTAGAGCAACACAAGGCACAGCTGGGCCATGATGAAGTCAAGTAGAAGTTTGTGCTCGAAACTCTCAAGGGAACCTACTGATGTAAGGTGTTTTCCCTGGAGGAAACAATGAGATACATGGGAACCCCCTGAATTTTATTCTTACCTTTTGTTGATATATCCTCAAATAAAAATGTTTCATTATATTTTTTTTTAAGAAAGTAAAACAAATATGGAATATTTCAACCTAAAACTTAGCAAAAACAAAGGAAAGAGGAAGG